AGAGGGTCCCCTGGGAGAATAATTTAATTTTATAGGGAAGGAACACAGGACCAGGGAGCCCTGGCTGCAGGCATCCCGCGCCCGTTGCCAGGAGCATGTGAAACTCATTACCTCTCCTGGCTTCCCATGGGCAGCCACGGATGACGCCACGCGTGTGGCGGAGGGGCTGAGGCCACGGGCCCCGCGGACAATGTTTTTCTGACACTAACACTTCTTTCTGGCCCTTGCAAAATGCTTCAGAGGAGCCAGGCCTAGCTAGGCGCCACCCACTCCTAGGCCTCCTCTGCCTCCTGACTCCAGACTGGAGAGGACCCCAGCCAGCTGCACAGGCAGGAAACAAAGGCGGACCAGGAGGAAGGGCAGAGGGGAGGCTGGAGAAGGAGCATGGGAGGGAAGGTGGGGAGTGGAAGGAGGCCTGCCTGGTCCCTGTTTGGGTTTCTGTTTGGAGAGATGACTGAGCAGAGACCACACGGCTGCAGGGCCTTTGGGGTCTCTTCTGGGATGGTCCTTCCCAGAAGTTCTGCTATGGAGGGGGATCCTCTGCTACTAACTTGCAGGTTCCATTGTGACCTTGGCCTTTTCCTCTCCAGTAGCCTCCAGGGAGGATGCTGCGGGCAATGGACCTCAGAGGTGGCTGAGCCCAGGGGTACAGAGGACAAAATGGGAGCTGCCAAAAGTATTGTGGGGAGGTTAGGAGGGTTTACAGATGAGACATGCCAGACATCCCCTTCCCTTCTTGTCTGTGAGGTTTTAAACAGGAAGGAATGGAAGAGAGAGCTTCGGGGCTAAAAGAAGGAAGAGGAGGTGAGAGGAGGTGGGAAAGGAGGGAGAAGAAAAGAGGAGCCACAGCCACAGGCCCCGGACCCTGTCTATCTTATGCTCTGCTTCCTGGCCACCACGAAAGAGGTGAGTAGGCAGCCTCCTCCACCCGCAATCCCACTGTCGTGATGTTCTGCCTCACCTCAAGATCAAAGCAATGAATCCAGCTAACCATGGGCTGAAACATCCCAAACTGTGCAGAGGTAGCATGGGGCCAGCAGGAGCCACTGTGCTGAGATAGGGTCCCTTCCTTTGTTCTGAGGATGCTCCCTGGGCAATGAAACCCCAGCTGCAGACCAGTGACAGGTCCAATCCCTGAGAATAGTCTTGTCAGGCATAAGGCAGATTCTATGTTTTAATTCCCACCTTGCTCTTGATCTCTCTATCGGTTCTGAATCCAGAGGTGAGAGAGCTATCCCTTAGGACCATCAGCCCAACACTCTCAAGTTCCTTTCCCAGAAAGGAGGCCAGAATTACAGGCACAGGGGTCCCAAGTCAGATTTCAGGCCTTCTATTAACTTTACATTAGTGGTCTTGGGCAAGTCATGTCCTAATACTCACCAAGATTTCCTGAGTCCTATCATCCCCAAAGTGCCTGGAGAACCCAACCACCTTCCTGATTTGAAGACTCTCAAATTGCGTTAAGCATCCATAACCATATAGTCCCCAGAGAAGAACCCAGCTCAGCCCAGCAGGAATGCACAGCCGTTTATATGGTAGGACTCTGTCATAGTTTGGATATAAAATGTCTCTCAGAAAGGCTCAGGTGTGATAATGAACCTGATCCTTGAGATGATGTGAAAGGATCTTGAAGGCACTGACACTTAATGGATTCACAATCTGATGATATCATTGGCAGATATGCAAACTTTTGGAGCCTGCTTGGAGGAAACAGCTCCCTGGAGATGTGTCTTTGGGGACTTTAACTTGTCCTGGACCTGTCCCTATCTTACACTATGCTTCCTGGCCACCATGAGGTGAATAAGCAGCCTCCTCCACCTGTACTCCCACTGTCATGATATTCTACCTTATGCAGGCTCAAAGCATGGGATCCAGCCAGCCACAAGCTGAAGCCTCCCAAACTGTGAACCAAAATAAACCTTTCCTCCAGAGCCCCTACAGTGATTCACAGGGCACAGGGCAGGGGAGCGGGGCTCGGACGATGGATGCAATACTGGTGAGTAGAGAATGTGGGGTAGGGAGGTTGTGGTGGCCCCAGAAGGAGAGCATAAAGGCCCAAAGCCAGAAGATGCACTCATGAACTTATGTTGGGAGTGACCGGGCAAGGAGCCAAGGTAACCTGGAAACATAGTTGGTCAGAAAGGATGCAGCCAGGGAGGCACCTCTACCCAACATGAGTGATTACACCCTGTGGTTCTTAAAGTCTGCATTAATGTCTGTCATACCTTAATAGCTGGGCTGTGCTTTGGGGATTTTGCTCCATGTCAAGACCCTAGGACCAGCTTCCAACAAGAGGAAGCACAGGCCCCTCCTCCTCCTTCCCACTCTACATTGGAGGAGGCAATCCTAAAGGGACTTGGAACTACTCCCAGGCCCAACACTTCACCACTTTAATTTACTGAAACCATGTGGGGGTAGCCATGACCCAGACTTCACTCCCTTCCCCATCTCCTTCTACCTTCTTCTTCCTCATCCTCTCAGCCTTACTCCTCCTTTCTCTGCATTTCACTTCAAAGAAGCTACAGAGGATTTCTAAAACAGATCCAAGCTGGCGTGCATCTCCCCAAGTCAAGTCACCCCTTCTTCTTAGAGATGAAAGGAAAGGAGGATCAAACCAGAGGCCCGGGAGTTTCAAGCAGTTGGTGTCATTACAATACTGCTCTGTTTGGTTCCTGTGTCCCCATCTGGCACCAACAAGCCATAGACAAAGCATGGAGGGATCCAGAGAATTTGGAATCAGGGTAAGTTGTTTGCTTTGCTACTTTTAGGTCAGAAGAGGGTGTTGGATCCCCCTGAAACTGGAGTTACGGATGGCTGTTGGCTGCTATATGGGTGCTGGGAATCAAATGTGGGACCTCTGCAACAGCAGCCAGGGTTCTTAACCCCTGAGCCATCTCTCCAGCCTCCCAAAATAATCTTTTTTGATCTGAAATCTATAAGAGAGGGAGATTGGGGGGAGATGATAATCCAATGACACCCCCATGCCAGGTCCCCCAAACCCCCATGACTGCCTGGTGTCTAAGTTGACCTTGATTGACTCTCCCCAGTCACCCCTACTCTAGTTCTATCTAGCCAGACCTGGCCTCTTTACCATGTGCTAGAGGGAGCAGAACTGAATCAAGAGCATGGCCCAGCATCACCTTTGCTGGCATCCTGGAGCAAGGCCAATCCCGTGTGCCTTCCCTCTCCTCCCCAAGAGTCTGGGGAACCAGCTGGTAGACGCTTCCCTTTCCTCTTCTCTTATAAAGTCTTTGTCAGTGTGGTAGTTAGTCTTGACTGACAACTTGACAGGACTTAGAATCACCTAGGAGACACATCTATTAGTGACTGTATGAGAAGAGTGTTTCCAGAGAGGTTTAACTGACCTGGGAAGACCCACCCTGAATGTTATCTATGAGCTGCAGTTCCAGACTGAATATAAAAAAGGAAGTGAGCTGAGCACTAGCATTCATCTCTCTCTGCTTCCTGACTGCAGAGGCCAAGTGACCAGCTGTCTCTGGCTAGTGCTCCACGCCTTCCCTGCCATGGTAGACTGTGAGCCAAAATAAATCCACCCTCCCTCCCTCCTCCTTTCTCCCTCCTCCCTCTCTCCCTCCCCTCCCTTCCCCTCTCCTCCCTTCCCCTTCACTGACACATAGTCTTTGGAATTTAAGTATCAATGTTTTCTCTCAACCCTCCCTCCCTTCCCTCCCTCCCTCCCTTCCTTCCTTCATCGCTTTTGTCAAGTACTTTGTTCCACTGAGGAGAAAAGAAATACAGTTGTAAGTCCTTTTCCAGAATTCTACTTCCCCGCTTGGCCTCAGTATCCACACCTACTTCTACCTAGTTCATACCGAGGGGATTGTTCTGGGGCCAGTTCCTCCTCCCACAGGCATCATGAGCCCTTCAAGGGCAAGTGTTGGTCCAGTTTCTCTCTGGAACATACCTGGCACCTAACACATAGCTTGACACACAGTGGGTCTTCAAAATATGCTTGTGGCCTGGAATCCAGGGGAACAGCTCAATGGTGAAGCATTAATAAGGGCAGGCTGAGGAGCCTTGCTCAGAACCCAGATATCCTTTCTGCACATCCTGTTGGTACTGCCCCCCCATACCCCCCACACTAGGACCCCCCCCTTCCCTTCTCATAACCAGCTCCTTGATACAACTGCAGTAAGAGTCGTTGCTCCTGAGTGACTTCAGGATGGAGGTAGCTGGTGGAGTAGTGAAAACCAAGTCTTGGGCTGGAGAAAACAGCATGGATAAGGACTGTCTCTAGCCATGTGGCCAGAATCCTTGCAAAACTGTCCGTAAGCATCCTTCTGTTCTTTCTAGAAGAGGAGTGTGTTCTCTTCCACAAGTGCTACAGTGAAGAGTGAGGTGAGCCTGTATTAGGTACCTACTCAGTGTCAGCAGCAAGCATTTATTGAGTACATACTCAGTGCTAGCAGTAAGTACTTATTAAGCACCTACTGAGTGTCTTCAGGAAGTATTTATTATCTATTTGTTGGTGCACAGAGAATGGATATTGGGAAAGTGCTCCTGTTTCCTTGGGGGAAACTGCACCAGCTGGCCAGAATTTCAGCAAATGCCTGTCCCTAAGCTACAGTACCTCCAGGGTCCCCTTGCTGGGTATGACTGGAGCACACTGCGCCCTCCCCTCACAAGGTCCAGGAAATGGAGTGCAGGGTTCCCTCCTCTCTTGAGAGGGTCTAGACTGGATGGTTTATTTTAAATACTACCCAGCCTCACTCTCAGAGGCAAAAGGACTGACTGAAGAGCAAGGAGAATTGGTGCTGGAACATCTCAGCCTCAACAAGCCTATCTGTAAAATGGGTCATCTTGCTGATAACACAAGTTTACTGAGATGAATGAATGAGAAAACACATAGAAGAGACCCATGCTGTGCTAGACAGGGTAGACAGAGCACCCTGAGGCCATGCCAAGGTCATGTGGAAAGCAAGCTCTCCCCTGCCCCCCTCAGGATCTTCTAACCCCAAAACAGAGCTAGAAGCACTCACCATCCTCACACAGGTTCAGCTTGGACAGGCTCCTGCCATCAAATGGCTCCTCAAAGATGGAGCTGGTGTCACGCTCACTCACAGTGTGCAGGTACATGGCTTTGTTTTCCATTGTGTTCTGGAGCAGGAGACACCAGGAGAGCAAGGGACAGAGGAGAGACAGAGTCAGCCAAGGGAGAACCAGGTGCCCACCCATACAACCCCAGCCCAGACTGGGGCCCTTTGTATTGACAGGGGCCAGGGACACCATCCAGGGCCATCTGCTCTCAGCTCAATGCTGGAAGACCAGGCCCTGGTTTATTATCGTCATGGGACTGTGTCCTTCCTTTCAACATCTCCCTGTGGGACTAGAGCCCTGGGCTTGGGGACACCATGGCCACATTAATGGCACCCGAGGGAGACCTTACTGCCCAAAGGGTAACTAACCAAGGAGCAGCCTCTGAACTGTTAGCAGTCCAAGGGTATCAGATAGACCTGGGTTTCACACCACACTGGAATGAGACAAAGTAGAGGCACAGATGCATTGAGAGTCCAGGACAAGTGGCCAGCCAGACTGAAGTCAGAATCGCCCCTCGTGCCACAGCACGCCATTGAAGGCGCTCACCTCCCGGGGAATGCAGGCAGCCTCAACGGGCACCAGTCTCATAGAAATGAGCAGCCTCAAGCCAGGAAGCGCGTCTGCAAAGTCTGTCGAGGCTACCCTGCTGCATCTTTGGGGTACCCTGCGGTGTCCCAGGGCTGTACCCACTGACTTGGGAAATCCTGTGTCACTTGAAGTGACCCAGCTGGGATGTTTGCACAGAGCATGACCCACACCATCCCATTCTGCAACATATAGTCATGTGACTGGAAGGCCGTCCTCAGAGCCCAGGCGGGTGGCTCCAGGACTGAAGAGCTTTAGCAGACCCTGACTAGGAGGGTTTGGGAGAGTTTTGTATTGCTTTGTGCTGCAGATTTTCTGAGTTTTCTATGATGCATTTGCATTCTTTGTGTAATGAGAAAAATCCTTTTAATAAAACCAAATTACGAAGTGTTTATTTACACAAAATTCTTTGGGTTTTTTCTCACGTATGTGCCCTGTAATTTTACACATTATTCTCTATTTTCAACACAGTTCCAACTGGCCATAAGTTTATGTCAACCTGTTTTTCTGAGACTCTTTAGCTCTCTGGCTTTTTAATCAAAGGGAAGAGGGAAGAGAAGGGAAGGGGGAGGGGAGGGGAGGGAAAGGAAGAGTAGGAGGGGAGGGGAGGGAAGGGGAGGAGGGGGAAGGGGAGAAGAGGGGGACAAGGGGGCATCTATTTTTCTTTTAAGTGAATTCTTTGGAAAAACAAAGCCACTACGAAGCTGGGTACAGGCCCAGCATACAGCAAACCTCACCCTGAGGTCCTGAGGAACAAGCAGGGACCTGGGGCCTGGGAAAGACACCACAGTGCCTGGCAGGTGCTGGCGGAGAACACTGCCATGGATCTCATAGGTCAATCCACTCCTCTTTAGAGGCAAGGTGTGAAGGAAGCATCAGCAGGGATAGTGAAGGGATGTAGGCCAGAGCAAAACGTGAATGCCCGGTGTTCAGGACTCGGATATAGTCTCCACAGATTAAGCCTTGGAGGCTAAGAGATCCAAACTGACCAGTGGCTGTTCAGCTGCCCTTTGAATGACCCAGGAGGAGTTGGGACTTCTGACTCTACATCCTCCAACACACATAGGCTCATTCACTTGGGCACACTCGTACACACACATGCACACACACAAACATGATGCTCTCAGTCTTGGGGTCGTTCTTCCAGCCTATGGGGGGAACAGGAGAAGGTGATGGTCTGTGGATTCACCAAGATCTCTCACTTAAAGAGCTCCCACCCAGCCTCTCTGTGCCTTTCCCCACACTCCTAGTCGCCTAATCCTGGCTTTCCATCCAGGGCCTCCACCCATGAGGGCCTCTAGGTGGAGCACTGGGCGGCTCCACCAAGACTGGCTACAGGGTGTCCTCCCTGGTTTCATGAGCTCTGTGTGCGGCCCCCTCCCTCTGGCCTCGATCTTGAGGAGCTGCAAAGCAGGAATTCGCTGTCTCTACCGCCTGTGATAGTCCTTGCTCTGCCAAAGGCAACAGAGTCTGCGGCCAGTGGTTACCAGAACCTATAGGCCACTGTCCCTGTGGAACCCCACCTCTCAGGCTCGGCTCCAGGCCACTGTTATCTGGAACGTGTCCTCAAGGCGACCCCTTCTCGCCCTCCTCCCTACTGCTTGGCTGTTCTGAGCAACAGCCCAGGACAGCCTGTGGAGAGAGGCTGGGACCTAGCAGAGCCAGATGTGAGAACGATGAGTTTGGACATGATCATCTGTTTGTTGCTTGGAAACGAAACTCAAGCACGTGCATGCTGGTTTTATTTGGGGGAATGTTTTATCTCCCTGGGGAGTTGGGAGCAGGTGCTGGATTCTGAGATCCTGGGTCTTCCCACCTTTGGACTGAGGTTGTGTCCTCAAGCAAGATACGACTGACTGTTAGGTGCTGTGCAGGCTTCTGGTGAATTGCTCACACCCCATGGGACTCAGATCACTTGCCCTTGGGGAAGTGACACCAGATCATTCCAGCCTCCCACACCCAGTGATGTCTTAGCCACAGGGCTCCTTTGTCAATGATGCATATGTATGTCAGTCCTTTTTCTGTGGCCACCTTCAGGGCCCCATACCAGGCAGTCGGGGTGGGCACAACTCAGAGGGCCAGCTAGTGCACCTCAGTGTGGCCTGGACAGGGGGAGAGCTGGGAGGGAAGACCTAGGCAGGGCTCAGAAGCAACGGGTCCCCTGATGCCCAAGGAGCCTGGACTTCAGCTTTGCTGGTCAGAGTGAGGCCACCCTGTAAATAGAGAGGGACAGCTGTACTGACCTCCAGAAGAGTTATGATTTATTCCCCAACAAAGGGTGGGAAGAGGTCAAGTTCTCCTTCCAGACTCTGCATCTGACAGCTGAAACCGCCTGGGACATCCTTGCACCCTCTGCACAGGGCTGGGGAAGTGGGGAGCTCACAGCACAAGGATCTTCTTCTTATCTGTTAGCTGGGGAAGATGGCCCAATCTGCTGACCTCGTATCACCTTCTGTGTGTCACCCCTCTGGTGGGAGGACCACTCTGCCACCCCTCAGAGGGAACTCTGTGCATCCCTTGAGCTGACGCAGAAGGAAGGACTTGACAAACAAGGTCACACAGGGCAGCTAGGGGCAGAGTTGGATGAGAGCCGGCGCTCCCCAACCAGCTAGAGGATCTCAGGTTCCTAAGGACCTTCTGTTGTTCAGAAAGTCTCACAAATGCAGTCACGTGGGGTTCCCTTTGCAAAGAATAATCACAATTGTGGTCTAGAGATTGAGATGCTGGTTTTCAAAGTTCCTCTGTGGCCATCAGAAGAGCAGACAAACCTGTCCTGCTGAAGCAGGAAGAAGGATCAAGAGCCTCTCTTGCAGCTTTAAAGATGGCGTCTGTGGCTTCGTCCTCTAACCTAAAAGGCTCACCAAGGCTTTCTTTGGCCTGCCTAGTTTCTAAAACTCATCTGGAGTAAAATCACTGTGAATGTGGTCCCAGAGTGAAAGTTGCTAAATAGGTTTTCAACCTTTCCCTTGCCTAACTGCATAGTTAACCTGGATCCTATCTCACAGCTAGAGAGGTGCAGATGTTTTATTAATGACCTCTTCCATCATAGACACACACGAAATACCAACATACGCATATATATAAATACATAGACACACATACATGCGTATACACATATACATTCACACTTACATATACACATGTGCACACACATACACACACAGAGCACAGCACACAGAAAATGCCCCCCCCCCCTCATTTACTCCATGAACAGGCTCTGGGGCAATGTCATGACCCAGGCAGATACTCCTGAGGCCACAGCATCCCTCTGGCATCCTGTGGCAGGCTCCTACTCTGCAGATCCCTGAAAGCCTCCCGCCTGGAGCAGACACCTCTAGGCTGTGTCTGCAAGACCTCCCTGCACTCCGTTCCATCACCAGGCCCTGGGACACCATGGCCCAGTAAGTTCTAGGTCAAAGTCAGTGTCAAGACTCACCTGCGTGCCTGCGCTGAGGCTGCTGGAGCCTGTGCTTAGTTCCTGATGTTTGCCATGGTGGCCGGAGAGCTGGCCGCTGCCCCACTAAGACCCAGGCAGCCCCACAACCAGCCAAGTCCAGATGGAGTCATAGAAAGAGGCTCCAGGGTCTCCCAGTGAAGTGTCTCGGGTCAGGGCAACGGGGTCACTTCTGTAAGAAGACCAGCTCAGGAGGCAGGGGTCGGGGTCGGGGGTCCCTGGGGCACTCTGTCTTCGTGTAGCGTCCGTCAGCCTCTGGAAGCCATCCGGAGATGTTTGGTAAAGGCACCGGCAGCTCCGCTAGGTACCGACTGAGTGGAAGCTGCAGCTGCTCCACTCGCTCTTTATAAAGTTCTTGAGTAACTGCGGCTGCTCCGCTGGTGGGAGTCTGGAACACGTCTGCCCCCTGGCGGCCACTACAAGAATTACAGCTCTGCTGCAACTCGGCCTGGGCTTTGGGCCTGCCTATTCTGAAGGCGCTGCTCAACATACTTTTTGGACAGCTTCTGGGGGAAATGGCAGCTAGACCTGGCTTATGACCCACCCAAGGAAACCGGTCCTGTAAGTTTATTTATAGGACAGAATTGGCATTGCTCAATTCATTCAGCAAAGTTGGCCTAGAACTGTTGTATGCATTTTCCTGGAGTCACTCCCAAAGGACTTGGATTGTTCACACTGGGGATACTGAGGAGACTGTACAGAGATCTCTGAAGGACCTTTCCAAAGTCAAGCTCAACACAATTCAGTAACAAAAACCAATGCTTGTGGAGCACAAAAACTATGCAAGCACAAGAGACAACAGGACACCTAAGCCAGCTGGCAGCTGGCTGGACTTGACCTCAAAGAACTGTCAGCCTAGTGCAAGCACTGCATTCCAAAAGGAGGTGTATGGGGCTGCCAAGACTGCCAGGTCAGTGAAGTGCTGGCCTTGCGAACAAGATGGCCTGAGCTCCGTCCCCAACTCACACGTTAAAAGAATGGGTGTGCCGGTCCACCTTTGCAATTCCAGCACTGGGAAGGGAGAGACGGGCAGATCCCTGGGGCTCCCTGGCAGCCAGGCTAGCCTACTGATGCCTTCCAGGCCAATGAGAGACCTTTTCTCAAACAGACCAAGAGGGACTGTGATCTTGAAGAATGGCACCAAGGTTAAGGGCACACATGTACTCAGGAACATGCACCTGTGTGTGCACCCACACACATGCACATACACATGTGTACACATACACACAATAAAAAAAGGATTTGAATAAATATAACTAACTGGACATTAGGGGAGCACTGAAATTAAGTTAGAAGTAGGGGAAGGGGAAGAAAGCGCAGAGAATTCCCATACAATGTGAGCCATGACTGCAGAGGCCCCAGGGGATGCCACTTGGAAGGTAACATTCAGCAATAAGGTCCTGATTGTTGGTTAAACACGAGGCTCCAGGGCTGGAGAAATGGTTCAGCAGTTAAGAGCACTGACTGCTCTTGCAGAGGGCCTGAGTTCAATTCCCAGCACCCACATGGTAGCTAACAACCACTGGTAACTCCAGTTCCAGGGGAATCTGATGCTATCTTCTGATCTCCGCGGGCATTGCATGACAGGATGCACTTACACACATGCACGTAATACACTCATACACATAAAATGAAAATAAACAAAAATGTTTTTTAAAAAGTGAAGTCCCAGGGCTTCAAAGTCAGGCTTCGAACACAAGAACTATTTTCCAAGCTCAGCTCTGCCCACAGTGCAGCTGCCAGCCCTCAGCTAAGTCAGAGCTTAGTCATCTTCCACGACCACCCCTCCTTGCTGTCCCCAGATGCAGCTCAGGAAACTCTGTTTTACACGGAAGGAAAAAAATCAGTAATTGTATAATTGGGGGGAGGAAGAGTAAAAAGAGGAGGGGAGGAGTGGGTGGAGGAGGAGGAGGAGAAGAGGGGAAGAAAGGGGAGGAGGGGGAAGGGGGAGGACAGGTAACAAATGGAGGAAAAGGAGCAAAAGGAAGGTGAAGAAGAGAAAGGAGGAGGAAGACAAGAGAAAAAGAAAATGGAGATGAGGGAAAAGGGCAAAAGAACAGGATGAAGAAAGGAAGAGGAGAAGGAGGAGGAGGAGGACGAGGACGGGGACGAGGATGAGGAGGAGGAGATGGGCAGCTGATGGTGTGCATAGACAGCTCTCCACATATCAGCTCATTGAACCTATATAGTCATTTCCTGGTATTCACATGGGGTTGATTTCAGGGTCCCTCCACAAATATCAAAATCCTCAGGCACTTAAGTCTCTTGTATAAAGTAGCAAAGTATTTACATAGAACCTCCACAGAGCTTCCCGTCTACTCTGAGTCATGCCCAGATTACTTACAATATCCAACGCAATATAAATGCTCCCTCAATAGCAATTATACTAGATTGGTCCAAGAATTATGGTAAGAATAAATGCTTGTGTTCAGTACAGGCACAGATTTTTAAATTATTTTTATTTTATGTGTATGAGTGTATTGCCTGCATGTATGTAAGTACACCCATGTCATGCAATGCCTGCAGAGGTCAGAAGAGGGTGTTGGATCCCCTGGAACTGGAGTTACAGTGATTATTAGCTACCATGTGGGTTCTGGGACTCGAACCTGGGTCCTCTGCAAGAATAACCACTGCTCTTAACCACTGAGCCATCTCTCCAGCCCCAGACACAGATTTTTTAAAAAACTACTTTTGTTTTATTGAGGGTTTTTTTGTGTGTATTTCATACAAAACATCCCAAACAATCTTAATCATCTTTATACCCCCATCCCAAATGGCACCCTCCCACGGCTCCCCCCGCCACTGGAGCCCAAATACGCTGTCATCCCTGTTACTGCCCACTGTGTTGTCAGTACCCCCAGCCGTTCCCCAATGCCAGTCCATCTGCTGAATCTAGTCAGCCTATCCAGACTCCCTTGTTTTAGGAAGATCAGCTCTTCTTCATCTAGTAGCAATCAGGTGCCAACATTCCTTTAGATAAGATTGGGGTCTGCTGTTCATTTTCCCAGTTCTATGCTGGATTATTGTCTGCCTGAGTTTGCATGGGACTTGTGTGTGCTGACACCATTGCCACAGAATCATATGAGCAGGTTCCCAGGAGCTTGTAGGACTCTGTTTCCATATGGTCATGCACCTCCTCCCTGACTCTTACAATCTTTCTGCCCCCTCTTCCAGAGTGGTCCCTGAGCCTTGGGTGGATGAAGTTTGATAAAAGGGTCCTGTCCAAGGTCTATTATTTAGCAGACTCTTGATCTCTATGCTTTAGCCATTTGTGACCTTTTGTGTTCCTGGCCCTCTGCTGCATGAGGGAGCTTCATTATTGGGAACTGATTCCTTAGAGTCCTCTTCTTTATCCCTGTTCTATGTTCCATGAGCCTTAGGTGTAGAGGTCAGGCACAGATTTTTTAAAGAATACTTTGTGGTAAGTTTGAACCCGTAGATGTGGAAGCTGTAGACACAATATGGGGCACTGATTTCACAATCACCTTGTGAGGCAGGTGGTGCTCCTGTGGCCACTTGCAGAGACAGATCATGTGACTTGTTCTGGGTCAAATGGCCTGTGAACGGCAGAGCTAGAACACAGCCCTGGACAGTTTGATGGTGGAGTCTGGGTCCATCATCACCCCCTATGGTATCCCTTACAAAAAGAATGACTTTTGTCACCCACCGAGTCACCAACATTCCTAGAAATGGAATCTTAAAACTAGCCAGGCACATGCTTAGACTGTGACACTTGAGGTCTTCACTGCAGGTAGGCATACATCATCAGCAAGAAACTCAGTAGGTCAGCTCAATGGATTGAATTTGTTCCCCCAAATTCATGTCCTAGGATCTGAATCCCCGGGGAAACAGTGCTAGGAGGTAGGGCCTGATGGGAGCAGCTAAGACAAACACTGCTGAAAGAAAGGTTTGTGGGAATGGCTTTCTCGTCGTCTCCTGCCCCGTCTTCAAGCTCTCTTGCCGTCCCGCTCCCGCCACAGAAGCACGCCGTAAGAGCACACCAAGAGTCTGGTTCCTTTATCTTGAACTTCCAGCTCTATTACTAGGAGAAAACAGATTTCTGTTTGTTATAAATTACCAAGTTACAGGCTTTCTGTTCTATAGAATAAATGGACTATGACAGTCACTGAGACCCAGGGCCATCCTAATGCATTCACTACCTTTGTTGCTATCGTGACCACAATACCTGTCAGAAAAACAGGGAGGGAAGACTTATTTTGGTTCATGGTTTCAGACCACCACGGCAAAGGTGTGGTGGAACAACTCAGATGTCAGGGGCAAGAATGCATGCAGGTAGAGACTGTTCGCAACATGACAGATCAGGAAACAAATCAGGAAGCAGGGCTGGGTATAACTTCCAAAGGCCTGCCCCAGGAACTCCACCAGCCAGACTCCACCTCCTAAAGGTTCCACAGCACCCCAAAATAGCTCCACTGGCTGAGGCCCAAGCATTCAAACCATGAGCCTGTGGTGGAAGTTCATATTCATACCTAAAACAAAGACTCCCCCACCCTCACTGACAAGCTCTCACTTGTAGGGGAAGTGGAAGAATATGAACAGAGAGAACAGGGATGAGATTCAAGCACAGTCCAGACCATTGGCTGAACCTCACCTTCACCATCAATAATTACTTAACGATACAGATTTGGATAGGGTCTAGTTTTCTGCAGGAGGCCCACAAATAGCCATAGAGCTGTTAAACTGTAAATTTGCAAGAGGAATCGAGTGTATCTTTTTAAATTCAGTGGCTCTAGGCCAAGAGATGCAGACTCTCTTTTGTATCTGGTTTATTTCATGCCTCACAAGGCTAAGATTTATCCCTAGTAATGTTTGTAACTAGTTAATTCTTTGCCTCTTTTCTTTTTTTCTGAGAGGAATAGCATTAGATGCATGGACCACAGTTTGTTTATTCTGCTGACAGGCAATTTGGTTGTTTGCAATAGTTGTTCTAAATAAACAGTCCCAAACAGGTAAAGGACCACTTGATAATGAAAATGAGCAGGTCAAGAGGGCAGGCTTGCTTTCTAGTGGGCAAGAGTCCTCCAGGAAACTAGTAGCTTAAATCACTTCTTCTTGTGTTACATAAGATCAGAAAAGTCCAGGGCTGGTGAGCTGGTTCAGCGGTTCATCAAGCCTGATGACCTGAGTTCAGTTCTCAGAGCCTGCAGGGCAGAAGGAGAAATCCAACTCCCACACAAAAAAAATTTTTTTTTTGCTTCCACATTGGCACTGTGGTACCCTTGCTCTTTATTTATTTATTTTTAACTTCAGGCATCTCATCTTTTTTATGCTTGC